ACCCAAGGAGAGTCATCCGAAGCTTTTATTACGAACAGGAGGGAGCGAAGAGATGTTTCACTTCACAAAAGACGAAGGCGGGAGCGGTAGGCGAGCGACTGAAGAGGCGGGAGGCGCGACTCTTCGCGAACTGGAGCGGGATCGCGACAGCAGGGATCACAACACTTCGCGATCGAGAACAGAGAGCGGGAAGGCGTTGTTCGCGATCAGAAGTAGGCTCAGGCGGGACTCCTGGAGCGGGCTCCAACACTAACAATCTCTCACTTGAAGACCGATACACATACTGCAACATCTCCTTCCTCAAACTGATTTCCTCCACCAAGAATCCTCTATTGTGAATCATCCACCTCTGCAACTGAAAGCCCTGTCTTCACTCCAGAAGATCAACTGAAGCTGTGCACAACTTCAATTTATCAAGAGTAACACCCTCAGTTAACATATGTAGGCTCCACATAATTTTGCACCTCCAAGCTATTTTCTGGGTCATTCTTGTCTCTTCTTACAACTCCCACTGCCTGGGCAACATTCTGCCTCTGTTGAAAGCCTTTTTCAACAAGTCTAGCATTGTACCTCTTACTGTCATCACGCTCAGTCTTCACCTGAAACACTCACTTGTTGTGAGATGTCTTCTTCCCTGGTGGAAGTTTTGTCGGCTCTCACTTGCTCGAACTTTCATCTTGTAAGATTTCTTCATAACTCTGTGGTTCTTCAACATTTGTGTGTGAAACATCAACATTTGTCTGTGGAACAATAGAAATGGGTGCCCCATACCCACTTTCCTCTTCACTTCCATTGTTTACTTCCATCACTACCCTGCACTGTGACCTCTGGTAGATTTACTACCACATTCAATGCCCCTGAATCCAATATCAAGTCTTCAACAAAACTATGAACTGCCCTGCCAATAATAATGCGTCTTGTGATTCTTCAGATACCACATTTGCTATCATTTTCCATTTTCTTAGGATTTTAGCAGTTCTTTATGTGGTCAGTCTTACCATAATTCCAACAGGTTGTCTGCTTACTAAATTTTAATTTTGATCTCCTTATATTTGAGTTCCTGTCATGTCATCTCCCTCTGAAATTAACATTCAGTGTCGAACTCGAACCTGAGACCTCGCCATAATCTTTCCTGCGAATTTCCTCAACCAAAATCAAATCACGAATATCATCGTATTTCAGTTTAGATTTACATGTATAACTGCTAACTGCTATCTCAATTGCTTCTCAACTATCTGACAATGAAGTCAACAAGATCAGTGCACATATCTCATCATCAAAATCAATTTTCACAGACGACAATTAATTTGTGATAGCATTCAAATCATTCAGGTATCGAGCAACAGAAACACAATCCGCCATCTTTAAGTTAAATAACTTCTTCATTAAGTGCATTTTGTTATTCATCGATAGCTTTTCATACATACCTGATAAGGTTGGCATGAGATTTGTAGTCGTCCTTTTCTTGACGACGATGTGTGCAATGGACATCGATAGAGTCAATTGAATAACCTCCAGAATTTATCGATCAAACAAATTTCATTCAATCTCATCCATTCTTTCAAGTCTTTTCCCTAATAACAGAAAATGAAATTTCTTCTCATAAAGATAATACTCTATCTGCATCCTCCAATAAGGAAAATCTGTGCCATCAAATTTCTCGATCCCTAAAACCTTTACTTCATCTGCAGTCATCATTCTTCCTCAAATCCGAACAAAACTCTGATATCAGTTGCTGTTGTTATGAAACTCTATACCAGTTATGAGATCTATAGATATACCGATTGATATGGTATATATATAAATCAAACAGGAGAACGATCGACGAAGTGAAAAATGGAACGAGAAAAATCAAATCAGAAAAGAACAACACAGCGAAACACGCAGATTTACGTGGTTCGACAAATTGTCCACGTCCACGGAGTTCTAGAGGATTTTACTACTTGAGGAATTTACACCAGTCGATCACCTCGACTTACAAGAGAAATCTCTCACTCTCCGTTGCTCTCTCTCTTCTTCTCTCTCTGTTATTCTCTCTCTACACCAAGATACACTGAAGAAAACTCTACATCGAAGTACACCGAAGAAGACAAACTTACAAGAGAAATAAACTCAATTTCTCTTCTGCCACAAGCCACCAAGAAGAAGCCTAGGGAGAACAATTTTCTTCTTCCTTCTTCTTCCTTCTGCCACAAGGAACTGCTCCTCCTTGCACTTCTCTTCCTCTGCCCTGAGGAAACCTTGGATGAAACCTTCCTCTATCCCGACGAAATCGAAGAAGAACTCAAAGCGTGACTACAGAAACCCAAGGAGAGTCATCCGAAGCTTTTATCACGAACAGCAGGAAGCGAAGAGATGCTTCACTTCACGATTGGACGACTCTTCGCGAACGAGAGCGGAATCGCGACAGCAGGGATCACGACGCTTTGCAATCGGGAACAGGGAGCGGGAAGGCGTTGTTCACGATCGGGAGTAGGCACAGACGAGACTCCTGTAGCGGGCTCCAACACTAACAAGCCCTCCTAGGACAATTGTATAGGTGGAGACCCAATTTGCTTTCTTTCCCACCCAAGACTGGTGTAAGAATAAAAAACTCTTAAAAAAAGGTGATATATAATGATGATTATTAAATTAATTATAAAAATGTGGCCAATACCTTTCATCTATAGCATCACTTCACATACTGGACATGACACAATTTGCTTTATTTTTCTCCCAAGGGTGCAGTACCCAAATTTTTATAAGGTACAGCTGTAAAATATATCTCACATTAATTATACAAAATTTTAACTTTTCAAAAATCATAAAAAATCATTTCATTGCATTCTTCAAAACGACAATTTGATATATAAAACTATATGTTAACTCAGGAAGTTATTGACCCAGTTTTGATTTTGATAATATTTATCTAAAGTTTTAATTTAATTTTATTTCACCTAGTAATCATGCTCTGTAGCAATTAGTGGAAATTCGGATTTTTCACTCACCGAAACATGCAATGGTGGTAGATGAATCAGATGGTCGGGATTAAAATTCATTAAGTCGGGATTTGATATATATTATTTTTTTATATAGTTTATGGTCTTTACATTTTTGTCAATACAATATAAAATATTAATATACTCTTGTTGAATTTATTCTTTATTTGAGTTGCATCAAGAAATATTTTAAAACTAAAAAAAATTTGAAAATCCAAATAAGTTCATTTCACCTATATCTATTGGGCAAATGTGACCTCTCTCTCCCTCATCTCACTATCTTTTCACGAACTAACATTCAACAACGGTTGGTTTTCAATCTTCTACTTTGTGGACTATGAACCTTTAACATGTGCACTTTTCCTCAAATCTTCCTTGGTTGATGAGAAAATATCTTCCGCATTTAGAATACTCTATAACCTGAGAATTTTATATCTGCCAAAAGCTATCCAAAATACATCAACTAAAGAGCTATCTATAAAATTTTTGGGAGCATTATGGTCATCCAAACTAGAATCTTCCAAATCTAATCTATATAAAAAAATAGATTAATAGTATAACACCCTCCTTTGACCTAAGAAGTTCTTAGACAATCACACCCCTCGCCAACTTGAAGAATCAATCAGTGACAAAAGTTTGTATAGTATCAATTTAAAGCTCTTAACATTATGATTCAAATAAATTTCACAAATCAAAATTTTGTTGCTCTGATTATCTTAAATATTTCTAAAAAAATTAATATATGAGATATAATATCATCAGAGAATAATAATAATAACCAATGATCAGAATATCAAAAAATTTAAATCCCCTCGATGGTACTTTATTTGATGGCAAAGTAGAGACTTGTTGAAATTTTAGTAATTAAGGAAAATGGTAAAGATCAAATTTGATTGCCAAAAAAATGATGATGGCTTATCACGATTTATGTCAAAATATTTCTCTTCCTGAGAGCATACTTACCATCACAAGTATAGTGAATTGGAGAAAGCCCAATCTATGATGGACAAAATGTGTGAAATCTAGCATACTCTGATGTGATTCAAGGAAAGGAAAAAAATGTTTATGGTGAGAGAGGAGCAATGGCAAGCGACCATCACCGTGATGAGAGAGACATTTTAATTATGAATATGTAAAATACATAGTACAATAGATCCTTTAAATATTTTTTTATAAATTTTTGTTATCACTTGATAATTTCAAATCCATGATTAGCATTAAAATGTGTTGATTGGATGGAGATTTATATAATATTACCTCCACAGTGCTTTTTCAAACTTGCTATAGCCTACTTTTTTTTAACATACAATATGCTGGTGTGAATTCATTTAATTGTCAACATTGTTAAAATGCTAAATTAAGAAATACATGATATACTACTAACTTTGAAAATTAATGGAAATTCATCTAGTACAACTGCATTTAGACCAAATGTTAGAAGAGTTGATGATGACGAAGGCCATGTTAGTAATGCAAATCCCACAAAACCGTCAGAAAAGAGAAAAGTGTAGTGTTCAGAGAAGAGAATGAGATTTTAAAAGGCGGCCGAGATTAAGGGTCTGTTTGGGGCAGCTGCAGCTTATTGAATAATCTACTGATAAGCTGATTAAAAATAATCTGCAGATTAGCTAGGTGCGGAAACTATTATAAATTTTTATTTTTTTGAAAAAGTCAGCCCAGCCAGAAAACTGTCACCGCACCTAGATAAGTGCGATGTGAAAACGCTGTTTTCAGTGTTTTGAAAACGCATAAATTGCCAAAATGCAGCTTACCCAAACAGTTTAGGTGCGTTTTCAAAATGTCACCGCACCAAATAAGCTACCCCAAACGAACCCAAGGAGTAGTAGTTTTGAGAAATTCAAAATTTTAGTGATGCATTAGTAAATAAGAAATTTATTAGATATGTAAGAATAGAAGTTCAAAGTGATAAATAATTAAATTCTATGACTCAAATATCCTAAAACAATTTTTCTCACATATTGCAACAGACTTGAAACTAGAGATAGAGAGTGAGAGAGTAACCTATGGGGAAGTTCCACGTAGAGAAAATAAGAACTACACCGAGCGGCTCTGCCACAATCTCTCCGGCGGCTGGAAAGTATAAGAGCGGCAAATCAACCTGAAGTCACAAAAAGCTACATCATTTCTATATCCATTTTACACAAAAAGTGAGAGCAACCTCTCAAAATCTGTCTACATAGCGAGCAAATCATATTACCTAACGGGCGACATCCCTTTTATTCTTTTGGAAGTTTTAAATGCATGTTATACAATTCCTATGTATTTAAATATCTAATATCTAAAGTTTGATTTTTACATCTACATCACTTCACCCATGCTTGAAAAGGTGCATTTAACAATCAAAGTTAATAATAATGATATTTTTTATGATATGAAAGACACGAGTATTATAAATGTGAATTAGATATTAGATATATAAATACATAAGAATTGTGTGGTATGTATGGAAATGCCCCTTCTTTTTAAATTTAATTTTTATTTTAGTTTTTTTATGTTTTAATTTTATATAAAACATATTTAATATATTAAAAAATATATTTCAATTTTTATTAAATATTGAATAAATTACTTTTTACTAAAAAAATATAATAAATAGTGAGAAACGCATTAGAAGACTGTTTGACAGCCAAGTTTGTGTAGGATTTAGTCAAGTTGGTGTGTTTAAATTCTACTGCTACAATAAATCTCATATCTACTCCCATTGAACAAGATTCAGTAAATCTGGCTTTTAATTATAATGTTTTAAGAACTTCGACTTAATTATAGCCTCAAATACGAAGCCTCCATATTTAAAGTGAGCTGAATAATTTAATAATAATTTGTTTCATCCTAATTAATCTTAAATATGATAATTAGTCATTATAATTAATTATTTAACTGTATCTAATTTTTAAAATAAATTATGCATACTAAAAGGTGTAACACATATTAGCACCCAATGACGTTCTATTGCTATTATTATTATTATTATTATTATTATTATTATTATTATTATTATTATTTAATTATTATTATTATTATTATTATTATTATTATTATTTAATTATTATTATTATTATTATTATTATTATTATTATTTAATTATTATTATTATTATTATTATTATTATTATTATTTTATTATTATTATTATTTAAGTTTTAAATATATATATTTTTTCTTTTTTAATTTCTTACGTTAAATCTTATATTTTTACTGAATCATATATTCAGAAAAAAAACAGTTAAAAAAGTTATCAAATTTTAATCACATTTAAAAAATATTTAAAATTTTTAGAATTTAAAAGTCGAATTAAATTTTACTTTAACCCAAACATCCGCTACTGTTAATTCAGAGAACCATGAAGCCGACCTTTTTGGGCGCCATCCATTTTTTGAGATTTCGAAGCGCATTGTCCACAGATTTGATCATCAATCCTACCTGCAACCCCCCCAAACACAAGCAGAATTTCAAGATACAGAGGAAGATGAAAAAGAAGAAGATGATGATGATGAGTGAAACGGCGGATGGAGATTAAAAGACAAACAGTAACCTCATCTCTATATGCTTCGATCCGATGTTTGCCAAGATCAAGCTTAAGAGCCTCGAAGATGTCGGCCTCTTTCTCGATGAGAATAGCCTTCAGAGCCCTGAGCTGAGACATCCTCCATGAATAACTCCTTGTTACCCCGCTCTCAAATGCTTCTCTTGATTCCTTCAGAGCCCGCTCAACCTCCATGCTTCTCAGCTAGACTCTCACTTGCTTGCGCACCGTATCTCCGCTTCCAACGCCTTACAATGCATTACTATTGCTGCAATTTTCAGTGACCTAGGAAACATGGGGAAAATGGGAGGAGAAATAAATGAGACTTTAATGAGCAGATTCAAACCACTGCGATTGCCTCCTCGCGCAAGCCATGCATCTCATTTGGGCAGCCAGTTCTGCATCTTTCTCTCAAAAATCAGAATCGACACAGAACCGTACTGCAACTTTAAACGAGGCTTTTGGCTTGTCTTTTTCCATGTGAGCGCATTTATTTTAGGGGCATTTACATACAAACCGCCCATTTTTTATGTATTTATATAAATATCACATAAACTTCATTTTTTATATCCATACCTATATCAAATGAGACTTTAATGAGCCCATTTCCTTCTCATAGTTAATTTTGCTCTATACTCTACTTGTTACCCCGACAATGTAGAGTATGATGAGATGAATTAAAATTTTTTTGTATTCTCAAATAAAAGATTGTATGCAAATAATAATTACAATAAATAATAAAATATAAACTATATTTCATAATTAATAATCTACTAATACAACTGAAAAATAATAGAAAATTAACTAAATCAAAATTGAAATGCTAATAAAGAATGACTACTCATATAAAAAAAAAAATACAATAACTAAAGCAAATATTAAAAAAAACCAATAACAATAATCTAAAATTGAAAACTCTAATGCTCGTGGTTGAATATGATATGTTATGTAAAAATATCAATGAGTGAGTTCAAAAAATAAGCTTGGCAAATAATAAATATTTATTAAAATATTAGCGACAAAAAAAATGCAGTATGTTTATAAAAAGAAACAATTATGCTTATTTATATAACATCATAAAATCACAGGAGTATTGTACACTTCAAATATGTTCAATCATAATAAGAAAAAATGTATTCATTTTAAATCAAAATTTACTAGTGCATAATTTAAAAACTATTTGTATTTCATTTCAATTCAATTTATATTTATATACAGTCAATTTTTAACACACTTTGAAATCAAGATGGTGAATGTTAGCACAAGAAAACTTGATAATTTTCTGTAAAGTTGTTACTACCTAGGTCTGTAAACTCGATTAACCAATATCCAAAAAGGGTTCACCGACTTGCATACCATCACATTTAAGCATATAAAATCTTCCACTCGTATAATATATAAGAAATATACTAATTCACACATATTAGCAATATGATATAAATTTCCGTGTAGTTTCATAAATGTAAAGTGCAAAGAAACAGAACAAAAAAAAATTGTAGGATTTAACCAAATATGAAAAGGTTATGTAGTAATAAAATCTGGAAGCTAATTATTTTATTATGAGCAACACATGATACTTATCAGAATTTTGAAATAAGAAAAAGAAAGTAGCAAGGGCATTGCTAGCAATCCTATAAAATAGCTATGAATATACTAAAGATAACAAGGGTAAACGCCCATAATTATGAAGAGTATGTTTATCCCCTAACAAAAATTAATTACTTAACTCGAGGTGGCCAAAAAGATACTTCGAAATATTCCGGTGTTTCAAATAATGTTGACAACAATTCTACATAAATTTGGATCAAAAAATATAAACAATAATGTGATTAAACCTAATTATTTATTAAATTAGCTGTAATGAAATTAACACATACTATTATTATTATTTATCATATATATATATATATATAAGAGTGCTACTTTTATAAATAACAAAATTTCAAGGGCTATGTATGTAATTGCTCCAAATATATATTTAAATTATTCTTTCACATAAAATACCTCTTAAAGTAAAAAAAAAAAGGCATTATTTTTACACTATCCAACTCCTAAATGTTTAAAAACTAGAAAAAAAAATTATGAAGGAAGAGGACTTACGACATTGGCTCGATCGAGGAAGAAGGAGAAGGATGGGAGTTTCATTCTTAAGTCTTCAGCTTGGTTAAGGAGAATGAAGAAGAGGCGGACGGAGGATTGGTGGCTATGTAGGGGTGAGCGGGGTAAGGCAAGGTTACTTTCCAGCCATTGGTCTCAATTATAAAAAGTGGAGGTGGTGAGGTTAATCGAATCAGAAAGGTGATAAGGAAGACCTGGAAGTAGAAAAAAAAGGAAAGAATTGCATATTAGTAAATCAGTTGTAGGTGGAGATTGCGAGGTTCATACGATCATGGCGCTTGCATGATCAATTGGGGGAAATTGCAAAATTTGAGTAAACGATATAGGAGGAGATTGCATGATACAGGAGGAAAAGAAAAAAAAAATTTGGTTCTAACATCCTCCCCCGACCCTTCAATTAATTTTTTTCCCAAATTCAAAACCATATTCTTGGAACAATTACAAGTACTTCATGATCATCTCTTCTTCTACCTCCCAAGTTGCTTCTCGTTCTGACTGATTCTTCTAGAGCACTCTAACAAAAGGATTGATCGATGGTGAAGCTATCAAACTTCACATCCAAGAAGCAACCTGAAACTTTTTCATAACTCAAGTCTTTTCAAATCATCAATAGCTCATATCAAATGATATGAGAGTCATCATTCACATAACAAAGAAGTCTAGAGACATGGAAGACGTTGTGTACCCCTATAAGTGTTGAAGGCGAAAACAAGTGGTATGAAACTTTGAAGAATCTCTCGATCATCTCAAAAGGACCAATGAAGTAGGTTCAAGCTTTCTAGTCTACACAAATCTTGTAACTCCACACATAAGTAAAATCTTCAGAAAAACATGATATCCAACATTAAAGTCCATCTCTCTATGCTTTTGGTCTAAGTACTTCTTCTGAAAATCTTGGAGCACACGTAGTCAATCTTGAATTTGATGAAGCTTTTCGGTGGCATGATTAACTAATTGAGGTTTGAATATTCACCTTTCCCCTACCACAAATCAACACAAGGAAAATCTCAATTTCCTACCATAGTTTTTTGTATGGTATACCATGAAGACAGCGACCTGACAGATGGGTATGCCAAGGAGGCAGTGATCAGGGAATGGGCATGCGTGAAGGCAACTAACCGACAAATATGTATGATGAGGAGGCAGTGACCCTGGGATGGGCATGCGGTGGAGGCATCATCCCAACAGATGGGTATGTTGAGGAGGCGATAACCTCGAAATGAACATGTCATGGAGGCAGCTGTCCGATAGATGGACGTGCTGAGGAGTTAGTGGCCTAGGGATGGTCATGTCATAGAGGCAGCAACCCAACAAATGGATATGTTAAGGAGGCAGCAGCCTTAATGGTGGTGATCCTCACTGAGGAGAATCACACAAGTGGGTTCAGTGTATGGACAGACACTCAAACATACATCTCAAGCCAATGATGATAATCATGCAAGCAAACAAGTAGGCACATACACATAAAAGCAAACATTAGGTCGGTGATCGATTGATCAGGCCTGGGCGACCGGTCAGACTGAAATGGTAAGTCGACCGATCCAGGGCAGCTAGTCGAACCAAAGTACTAAGCTGAGCATGTTGTGGCAGCCTTTCGAGGCATAAATGGTGTCAATCGACCCAAGACAACCAATTAAAGCAAGTGATGTCGATCGGCCCGGGGAGACCGATTGAGGCACAAGTGATGTCGATCGTTCCGGGATGACCGATCAAGGCATAGATGATGTCGACTGAGCTGGGGAGGTTGGTCGAGACAATGTGCAAGTGCAAGATGCTCCATGCAAAGCACACATATGCCACAATTCGAAGCAGGCAATCATGCTCGATAATAAGTCATACTCATGCTAACAACCTCTAATAAGACACATGGGGTTTAGCATTTGGATGAGCAGCATAGCTGCCTCCTACTTTGGTGAAGCACACGGGGAGCTTCTTCTTCAAATCCCCGAGAAGGAAACTCTCCATGAGGTTGCGAAAATAAAATAGCTACAAAGTTTTTCCCATTTCACAACTTGTAATGGTTTTGCAAAGTGAGCTAGCTACAAAGCTTTTCTCATGTTGCAAAACCCAAACACCCCAACCTTTCCGAGGAAGGTTGAGGGATGCCAAAATAAGGAGTTATTGAGACTCCAACCCTTTTAAGACTTTGTGTTAATAACAACAAATCACTCGGCTCTACGAAGGGTTTGGCCACGTACGGATTCCTACCCCAGGGCCTTTTCTAGGGAAAGCAACGGTCCATTACATGGGAATGTAGTCACACCGACTAGCATCGGTCGACGCACTCACCCCGTGTGGGCTACTGAACCCACACACCTATCACAACTAAACCAACACGTTTATCACAACTAAACCCTATGGCTAGTTAAGGAAGAAAGATGTAAAGGGTTTAAGGAGGTTATACAACTGTGGTTGCACGATCTCCAACGAAGTCCGGGATGATGCTCTCCCAACAATAAGAGAGAAGCCCATGCTTTGGACCGTCGACACTTTGGTGATGCTTCGACAATGCTTCCCCGAATCGAGATGAAGTTCTCCCTTAAGAAGAGAGTCTGGAGAGGTTTCAAGCTCCGATGAAAGTCCTTCTCCCATAATGAGAAAGCTTTCCTAAAAAAATGGAGATTTCAGTGATGTGGTTCACAAATCTGCTCTTCTTTCTCTACTGGTGAGACAATGACCAAAAGAGGGAATGGAGAGGAATAATGAGAAGAAAATGAAGGAGTGGAAGAGGCCACAATAATCCCTCAAAGCTTTCTTGCTTTCTCCCCTAGCTCCCATATGTCAAATGCATGATCCCCTCAAATGGCGAGTCTCCCACTCGGTTAAGCACAACACAACCCCTCCAAACGACCAAAGTGTCCCCATAAAGCTCCATGGAATCTTCAAAAGTGAGGGCAAAAGAGGTATTTTGATATCTCTTTTCTCACCCCGAGGATCATCATCACGCGGTCTACCATTCCGGCGCATCGAAGTCCAAACATGGTAAGAAAATGGCCAAAATCCATCACCCGGGAGGTGGCCGACACCTAGGCACCCAGTTATTGGGTGTCTATGCTCCACCCAAGTGGCGCCATACTTTTCTCTTCTCGAGTAGATGTTAGATTTCAGGTGTTTTTGGGAGCTTAAGTGTCCAAACTTGGCGCCTAGGAGCTTAAATACTGGCACCAGACTTCCGTGCTCTTGACTTAGTTGTCCAAGAAGCGGCTATGGGCGCCTGTGCGCCTAGGGTCGACGTTGGGGCATTGGTCTAGCCCGAAACAC